GGAGTTCCCCTTGATCAACTTCAAAACCCATATGATGACTCAACCACCAAAACCAAGAAAAAACCAGTTGCAAGGCGTCGATAACATATTTATTGAAACCATCACTAGGCAATTTTATCTCATTTTACATTCAAATCACTATTAATCTCATGCTAATATTAATGAATGCACTAGTTAGACTCTATTAAAACAATTACAAAATTTTGTTACAATATTTTGTGTGTGTGAAAATGTACCTTTCTCAGTTTATTATACTTTTATTGGCAGATCCAGGATTTTATTCGGGAGAAGTGAAGGTCTCCCTTTTTGAGGACCTTACCTGGATCTGCCACTGCTGCATTGCTTGTTTTTGCTGATTTATGTCTCTATAATTAGCTATCAGAATACAAAAATTTTACAGAAACCATTTTCTGTAAGCAAATCCTCACTGGTGATCATGGTTATTCAAAATTACAAGCAGCTTCTAATATAAAACATGACCTAATAGATTAAAACACACTCTAATTGCAGCCTTTCCTGCAGTCTTTTTATATYCATACAATAGAGGTTTCAGTAAACTGCAATAATACTCTACATTGCAATYATGTAACTGATCAAAACCATGTACTACTAATGATTTGTGAAATTGGAGAGATGTCGTACACCATAAGTAATGTTTACAACATGAGCGGCCGTGTTGTAACGAAAAATGGCATTGTATAGTATTATCACTAATCTACAGCAAGTTAAAAGTTGTATAATTATTTTGTGCAGGCTATTTAATATATACAATTGATTTTAGTACAAGTGTTTGAAAAGTGTTTAAATGTAATGGCTTGGCCAAATTCAAATAATTAATACATCTTCAAAGTGCAAAATTCATAAACTGACATGTGGAATTTTACTGGTAAGTGCAATGGCATTTAGAAAAGATTTGGAAGTAATGTTTAAAGTCCGACAATGAGGACTGGATGGGATTTCAAGTCCACTCAATTAGTTCCAACTTATTGCAAGGACTTGAAATCCCGTCCAGTCCGAATTGGAGGACTTTGAACGACTTCTCATACTCATTAATTGTTCGGGTGGGGAAAAAAGCGAAGGAAATACATATAACAGAAATATATTGATTTATTGCATCTCCACTAAAGTTTTCAGTTTTCATAATTTTGAATACATGAAGCACCGTTCGTTTTTCTTCAATTCCCGGACGGCTTTCTGAAACAAAAGCTATTCAAATTGTCTTTGTCTGCTATTCATGGCATTCCTAATGAGCCTAATTCATAAGATTTATAAGTATGTTATCTTCCGAGGAATCGCATCAGAAACTCGGTAGTGTAATGGTATAAGACAGCGCATATAGACTGGACGGTAGGGGATCGAGTCGTGAGGGACCTTTTTTCACTAAATTAATGTCAAACTGATTATTTCTAATAATTTGATTATCATTAGCTAGTAGTAGTTGGAAACATGGTAGAAGTAACTGGAAATAAGGTAGAAATAACTGGAAATAATGTTGATTAAGTAACTTGAAAAAGGTAGAAGTAACTGGAAATAAGGTAGAATACAAGCTACGAGTACTTCCTCTGGTTTCAAGTTACTTCACGTGGTACAAATTACAATCAGGGATTGGCTGGATACCTCATATTGAATAATTAATGAGTATGAGAACTTATTGGAGTGTCTTTGCAATCTCGCTTGGACACAAGGCTCATTCGATTCTATCTTTCATGGTGACACACTGAAACTATACCATGGTCAGTATGTTTGTTGCACTCATGAAAAAATTAAGAATCTTATGCCTGTTACTGTACCATTGGTTGTAACTCTTGATCATTATTTATATTTCTAACTGGTGCATTTTGTCCTCCCTGATTACCTGCAAGACCACTACCAAAATCTGAATTCTTAAACAGCCACAACAAAGCACCAACCATGATAACCACCAACAGATTGTCAGTCAATGATACAGCAACATTACAGCCATAAAATGAAATAGCCAATATGAAAATGCCAAGCAAGATTGCAACTGCAAAAATTGACATATGGCACATATGGCACCTCACTCCACTATTTTTGAGAGATAAATATATTGCACATAAAAGTGTCAGTACGACAAAGCATTCACATAAGAACAATGGAATGGCCCAGGCAGGATCAGCTGGAATTCCACCACACAACACCCATAACAAATGGTGAACAAGCTGATAAATACATGGAAGAACCACAAACTTTCCCCAACGTAATTTCCTAACAGGTCTAGGGTTAAGATCAGGGTTAGGATCAGTTGTTATACACTGTATAACAAAACTGATCAATAGAAAGAGCAAAAAGAGAAAGAAATGACAGACAATACCTGACAAACTGAAATCTCTTGCAATGTAGATATGTTTACTTGTAATGTATATACCTTCAAATATTGGCAATATCAAAATGCCATAAGATGTGAATATTAACGTTTTAGATAAATGTTCTTCTGAATGATTACCATCAACTGCTAACCAATTAAGTGCAAACCAAGTAAAAGCAATTGTAAATGGGATAGATGCTACTACTATCCATATTCCTCTCCAGTTGTACCAGTCTGGATACACAATAGGTTGATCAGCATCTCCTTCATGACCTGCCACCACACACTGTGCTGTATTGACTCGGGGATCTGATAAATTAGGCATGATGGCAATGTCTTGCAACTGTGAAAACAAAAATACACTATTGCAGTTTTTTAATACCAAAGGTTAGCTAAATACTATTTAATTTTCAAGATCTTTGCATATTTTCTAAAAAATAATTTTTAATGGTAAAGGTTTGGCATGCTTTAATTGGCTTGGATGGAAGCTAGGGGACTCCCTAATATCAAAGGGCAGGGGTCCTCGTCGGAAATTCTGAAAATGATCATTTTAGTTTGGTTTCCCGATTTTATTTGCATTTTGCACAATCATGGAACACCTCGGTTCATATTGAGTTTATGATGACATTGCTAGTTTATGACAGCTTAGGGTCGTCGTATACCCTAAAAGGAACCGCAAAGCTCGGTGGGAATTCTCATCATTATCACCCTGAGCGGGACCAAAATACCGATTTCAAACCCTGAAAGAGACAACGAGGACCCCCACCCTTTGATATTAAGGAATCCCCCCTTCCCAGGGCTGGTGCCTTGTATGTGTTAAATTACAAAAGGATTCAATGAATTTTCTTGGCATATTAACTATGCTTTGATATAAACATTACTGTACATGTAACAAAAGTTTTGACAATTAAGTTTTCAAAATCATATTGGCAGTTCAGGAGGGCATTGGTCTTTGTTGGAATGATATATGTGACACAGTGATTGAATTACACCCATACAATTGTGCAATTGACCAATCAATAACATATCACATGGTTTGACCTCTCTCAATTACATTGTAAACATTGACTAGCATCAAACGCTTTTTACTCATCACAGATGAGAACTCCCATCATTAAAACCCTTGATGGGACCAAGTATTTCAAACCCCAAAAGGAAAGGCCGACCCCTCCTCCCCTCTTCCCCAGCATTCCATTTCCGCCTCTAGTAGGGCATACCGTCAAAAGGGCGTATCTCCACATATCGTTTTCATCTTTAAAACCATTTTCCTCAAATACTGTCTCGTTGCACAAGTCATGGACTGTCAACACCAATTCAGTTTGCCTTCGCTGTGGCCATACTGTTCCCAAAGAGAATGCAGTCACTGCTTCAAGAGAAACGTCGGTCACAAAGGCACAACTTTCAGCCCAAGTAAACTTTTTGACTTTATCAACGTTTTGATTTAATTCATCACTGATCAGTCGTAGGGTTACTTTGACGTACAACGACGGTAGTTGGAATAGAGGGAATAGAGCTCTTGAAATACTTCTCCAGTGAACTTTAGAAGAGAGTTCAGCTTCTATTTCATTCAAGCTTGACAAGCATTTTGTAGAATTTTTGGAAGGTGTTCTTTCAGTAGTAGGGTTTTTTTCAGTCGCCCTTCCAGGAGTACTAGTTGTGAAGTTTGCAGCAGTTGAGTTGCCTGCATCGATATAAACTACTGCAGAGATCAGCAGCAAAACTAGTAATATTGTCAATAAATTCGCCATACCCTTTTCATTGGAGGAGTGCCTTCTGCGTCTTTGACAACGATTCCGGGTAAACCG